TAAAGGGCCGATTTCAACTTGGATTTTATGAAAATCAGATCAGGAATCAGGAGGGCGACCAGAAGTGGATGTGCCTGCCCTCATCATAACTGAGCCAACAATTGCGACCATTACTAAGGAAATATAATATCAGGGTGATAACATAGGAGAAGAAAACACTTTTCATGAGTCTGCCGACGTAATACGAGAAGACTGAGGACTTGAATGCTTGGGAGTTTATCGCGTCAAATGCGGAAACTGTGAGCAGAAGTATATTGATGAAATAGGAAGTAAAAACGGTCTACGAATCAAGAAACATCAAAAACTCTGCAGGAACATAAATACAAAAGGATCCGAAATAGCGGAACACATTGCACGAACGGGGCACGAAATCAAGTGGAAATCGACAGAAAGGTTGGCCGCATGTGGTGAAAATACGAGAAAACGCAAGATCCGAGAGGCCATCAACATACTGACCGAGAAAAATGTAATGAACAGGAGACTTGAAGAAGACAGGATCAGAGAAAACTTTGCATATTGCCTAAACAAACTCGAATAAGACCAGACAACAGCAAGACCAGCAAAAAGAAGATGACTAGATCAAGGTAATATTCTTAATTTTAGGAAAAGAGATCGTAGGGGGATTAGAAAAGAACAATCAGCAGCAAAGAGGTGACGTCTTCAGTGAGCCTAATCAAAACAAGTAGAACAAAAATATTTGTGGGTTGGCACACAATAGACTAGGACGTAGGAAGTGATGGACATTGTATCATTGATATAAATAGGAAAGACGCGGTTTAGACTAAAGCTATTTGGCTAAAAATAGTCTTGTCTGATCATAAAAGTGATCCTTGAAAATCACGACTATTGTTTTCCAACCAGCTCTAGCTTCCACTGTTTCTATCCTCTTTCTATCTATGATACCAAGTCTATGATTTACTATGCTCTAGTCTCTTGTGTGCCAACCCACAAACGTTGTGGTTCAACATTGAATCTAATCAAATTAAGCAGTACCACAACATTTGTGGGATGGCACATAAGAGACTAGGGCATGGGAAGTCACAGGCTTGGTATTAGGGACGCGACGTCGATTGGAGCTAGTTGGTTGACAGTAGGTTTTATAAGAGACGTGGTCCATGTGACAAAGGTGTGACCATGAGGCTTAATCAGAGGCTTGAGCCTCGAAGTAGTCACCCAGACGCAGGGTAGGGCCAATAACGCCTCGGGTGGCACAGATGGGGTGGCAGGGGCCGAGTGAAATATGTGAACCAGGGAGAGGGCAGACGGATCTTACAGTCTTCATATCTTCGTTAACTTAGTGAATTTGGTGAATATATTTCGTTAATAAGTTTGCTTTCGAGACTACCAGTAGATGACATATATGAGATATCTTCATCCTAATTCGGTTAGGGTGATAAGAGGACCGTAAGCTGAATTTCCCCATAATTATATGAGTAGGCCTTACGCTTTTACTGAAATTTACATAGCCTTGCTTCCATAAAGATACTATTATCCAGGATGGACTGCAGTTTTGACCCTGTCTAGGTCTCATCAGCATTCCCAGCGGGACTCTAACCTTGATCGATATGTTAACCACTACGCGGCACTACCATAAATGCCCTTGGTTCACAATACAATGCTAATTTTAGGAAAAATTGGATCTTTCCCAGTCCACATTCTGTGATATGATTGTGGATGAAGCAAACTTGTATTTGCTATAGCAATCAACGTACGTAGCATTTTATGCAGCAGAACTTAACTCGCGAGGTTTTTCTTCAGGCATACATTAATCATCCTCCCTGCTTGGACTTTGATTCACACACTGACCTTCGACCAACCACATAGTCGCCAGTCTGGCCTGTGCATATAATATAATCCATCACACTCTACCCCATAACTCAGAACCTAAGTATTAAGTAGGAAGAAATTATGCCAGAATCGATATCCCTCCAGTTGCATTCCCCTCAGGAAAGTCATCCCGGCTAACGCTTTGCTCATCGAAGCGCTTTTCATCAAGCAATACCTAAGTTCTACATGCGCACTTCTGCATTACTCTTGCATCTGTAGTTTATTTAGCATCAACGCTCAGTTCTTCGAGGTCCATTATGCCCCCTCCACCATAGTGGTGTATCCTCAACCAAGCCCTTTCGCTCGATCAACTCTTCCTACAAATTGTGGTCATCACCTGCCCCTATGTGCCGATTCTAACTTATCACTTCTCCGAAGAAAAAATCTTCGCACTTGCAAGCTCATTCGTGTCATTGACCTAGGTATGAAGAGAACCACGCTTAGCCATTGTCGAAACCCAAAAAAGTCTTTTAACGACCGTTTCATCAAATTCGCATCCACTTTAGTTTCCTTTTAGCGCTAGATGGACCTTACTTGGACCGACTTCGAATTGACGCGTGTGTATGTCGCACCTCCTGCAGCACCTTATAATGTCACCTCTTCTGTCTAACCAGACTAAGCAACACATCGCCTTGATCGTATCCCCATCACATCCATGTATATAAATTGCATATATATTAATACCGAATAGATCTGTACACCTTTACAATGCAACCGGCCTCTTAAGTCCATATTATCATCCTCCATCCTGCTAAGAAGTCTCAGGTCAGGCCCCTTGGACTTGGTACCAATTCCACGGTCCGACGCTAGGAATTATAATAATACTAGAACAGATGACTTGGGATAAGATACTTGCAGCTAAGTCCCTCTGACAGCACGATCAAGTTGCGAAAACGAGATCAACCCACTTCTATACATCGGAAGGAGACTTCGACTATACAAAAGGCCACACCATCTTGGTCTTCATACCTTCAGTAACATATAATTGTATCCATCTCTTGGTCCACCAATTAGTTATCAAAAGCCAAGTAGCTACTTATACATAGATAAAATGAATGAATGAATGATTTGGAATTTAGTGATCTCTCAATCTGTCTCATTCTAAAATTGTTCTTGCAAACTATTTAGATCCTTGCTTTGGTGCACCTACCTCGAGGCCGAGGGTTCTGCAAAAACCGTTCGCTTAATTTTGCTGCCACACCTGGAGGGAAATATGTTCGTTGCTTTCGACGCCGTCTTGGCTGCTGCCCATGGAGTTCAACGATTCCCTTTCTAGCTTCTGCTTCGTCAGCGCCTGCAACTTGTTTGGGCTCCAAGACATCAGGTGAAGGAGCTGAGCCATTGGTATAGGTATAGTCAGAGGGGGTAGCAGCATGGACGTTGGGAGATGTAGAGAAGGCGCTGTTGAGAGTTGGAGAGACAAGTAGTGAGGCTAAAATAAAATGAGGAATTTTAAGAAGGAAGAGGTAAGATAGTAATTGGTTTGTAAAAACAAAACGCAATTTTTTGCCTTGCCCTGCCGAATAAAAAATCCTAAAAGAGAGTCAATGTAAGCAATAAAGAAAAAAGAATTGACTTCAGACACAATAGTGAGGACCCATCTGGTTAAAATGAATAACGAATAGCGATCTGGTGATAAGGAACTAGAATTAAAGTATTCAAAGATCAAGTTTTTAAAAAAGCGAAACTAAATAGCCCCTGGCTTGCCACTATTTGACTATACTTTATCTCTTGAGCCTCGTCGTTTTTTAAAGATTGTAGAAGGCAAAAACAGTATTAGAAAAAACTTTCGCTAGCCCCAGGTAAGTGTTGGCCTAAGGCTGGTACAAAAATATTGTCCAGCACTGGTGAGGTATGTAAGGAAAGCTGAGCGTTCTCTTTCAGATAGAAATAAATAAAAGGTAAAATATTGGGTTTGGCCTATGAATTTATTTACCTCTAAACTTAATACGAAATGAAAGTGAACCCAAAAATGGATATTACATTAACATTGGGATAGTAAATCACTAGGTGTCAACCGGATCAAGTCGTCCAATAATGTGGAAGAACGACAGTTTGAAGTATATGTATCAAGAAACAAACATCAGTAAAGATACCAATTACAATTTATTTAAATTACATTTTAAAAGATTTAAACTATAGACGTTTATTGCGCAAATACCACTTACTTGATGAAGGGGTTTGCGAGGGGTTATTTGCACGAAATGTTGATGATTCTACAGATTTCTCGATACAAGAAGGATGCGATGAAGGACTAGTCACAGTACAACTAGAACTGATGAAGGACATGCAGCCCTGCTGATAAAAAAGTCAAAGTCGCGTGATCAATCGCAGATAATTAAAACCAAAAAGGTGAAAAATTGGCATAAAAATGAAAATATCACTTTCCTACATATTATTGGGAGCTTATGGACAAGAACCAAGAAGGTTCCCGAATTTAGCTTAATATAAAATCCCCTAAGTAAATCTAGAATAGATAGACATCTAGAATTGAATATTTTATCAGGTGATACATAAAGCCTCTAATCGAAGGTATGAAGACCAAGATGGTGTGGCCTTTTGTGTGGTCGCAGTCTCCTTTCGTTGTATAGAGGTCGTTTGACCTTGTTTTCGCAACATGGTCAC